ACCTACGACACATACGACGCCTACGACACATACGACACCTACGACACATACGACACCTGCGACAAATACGACACCTACGACACATNGATGCCTAATGTACAAAGAAACAATTACTATCATGAGTAGAATAAAAGTTTCTAGGATTCCAAGCATTTGCTCTTGGAACTTCCTATTTATAAGTCACTATCCTTTATGTTTGCTTTTTAAACTCTTATCTCCGTTCGATCACGCTTTCAATGATTGTTCATACGTAATTTTCACGTGTACCGAAGTGGATACTCAGAGCTATATGGTCCTTTAGTAAAAAAGCTGAATGCAGAGTTTACTTTTCACAAAGCATTTGATCACAAATTCACTGTTGTTTAAGAACATATTTGCGGGTAAACTCTTTGATTCATTATGTTACTTCAATAATTCCTGCTCAGTCCTCTTGAACCATACAGGTTGTTGTTAGGTGTTATCGGATTTATGGGCGATGCGATGTTGGGTTGTGGTGACTGAATATTGGGATGCATGAGTTTTGGATAATTTGAGGACGGTTGAGGATAATTGTAGGGCTGTGAGCTGGAGTAATTGTTGACTGCAGGGATCGTGGAGGATGTTTGTGGTGTTTGGTAGTTATTGACTGTTTTAGGAAAGGGTAAGTTTCTAGACGGTGATTCGTCGACAAATTGTTGCCCATTAAAAAGACCATCGCGGTCTTCATTGATCGATCCTCTTCTTCTCTTCATATAAAAATAGATAAATATAGCGATTGCAATAATCAGCGTCACCACAAATATTGCTATTAACACCATTCCAACAATCCAACCGGTACTTAATGAACTTGCTGCGGGCGTTGTGGGTGCAGCCGTGGACGCATGCGTAGGTGTATGTGTGGGTGTTGGTGGAGGAGAAGTGGGAGATGACGAAGGAGGAGTTGTTGTTGATGGAGATGTATGTGTCGCACTAGTCCCAGGGACTTCCGCATGTGTACTTATACCAACTACGCTGATATTTTTATCCGCGCTCTTTTCATTTGTGCCGGTGATGAATAAATACATTTTGTATTTCCCGTTTCCAGGACTACGTTTCACTCGACTTTTATCTGAACAATAGGTCTTGATCATTTCCTTTACTTTTTCTGCGGGAATATCAAATAAACCGCTTTCCGAGCGTTCCACAGGTTCCGAATCTGCCTCACGAGGTTGGCACATTGTCACATTAACTTGAATTTCGCCGGTTGGTTTGTGATCTTCCTCGTTGGTTATATTGAAAATGTACGATGAACCAGGATGTACATCGACATGGATTTCAACTGGAGTACCGTATTTTAGCTCTTTAGTACTGTTCACGACCGTTTCTGATACTCTTGTTG